TTCCTTCCTTCCTTCCTTCCTTCCTTCCTTCCTTCCTTCCTTCCTTCTTCCCTCCCTCCCTCTGTTCCCTCCTTCCTTGTTCCTCCTTTTTTGGGGGTACCTCAGGTTCCCTGATCAACCTACTGGTTGGAGAACTGTTTCTGCAATCTTCCCGGTCCTCAGCTTACGTCATCGGACAATTTGTACACTGGTTCCTGAACTACCTAACCGTCTTAGTCTTTATCTACGTAGAGGTGAGTCAACACCCTTGCAGCTATTTTTCGGATATCTCTTGGAGCAAGAAATAAAAACCCACCTGAAGATCAGGAAGGCCAATGGCCTCCCCCCCCACATTCTTTTTTGGGGGGGTCCAGGGAAGATTAGAGTGGTTGGAAAACCAGGATTTTCTCTGGCTAGGGTGGGTGAACGTTGGAAATGTGGTAATTGATAGCAAAGGGAGATTGACAGCTGCAGGATCCATATCCTGGGTAAACAGAAGCTTTAAATCCATATTTTTCAAGTGTGACAAATTTAAGACATACGGACTTCAACTCCCAGAATTCCCTAGCCAGCTGTACTAAGGAATTCTGGGAGTTGAAGTCCACACTTCAGAGCATGGTGGCTGGGGAATTCTGGGAGTGGAAGTTACCCCTCTTAAGCCAGGTTTCCTGGGGAATTCTGGGAGTGGAAGTTTACCCATCTTAAGCCATGTTTCCTGGGGAATTCTGGGAGTGGAAGTTTACCCATCTTAAGCCATGTTTCCTGGGAAATTCTGGGAGTGGAAGCTTACCCATCTTAAACTTGGTTGGGAAGCACAGCGCAGGAAGGCAGGGGTGTGTGCGAGAAGGACCCCTCGGCCTGGACCTATGTCAAAAGAGATCCAGTAGTCGATCCCTTCGGATACCAACCTTTCTCCTTTCTTACCCAGCACAACATCGGGCCTTACAGCCTCCTCGTTGCCAGCCCTGTAAGCTTGGTGACTTTCTTCTACATCCTGAAGATCATTCCTGAAACAAAAGAAAAGACCTTTCTGGAGATCCAGGGCCTGATACCCCGCTCCAAGGCCAAGCGGACTAGCCCAGCAACAGCCAGCAGAACAAAATCGGTGCCTTCCGTTCAAACTTCGGCTTCATAAAGAAGCGCCCAGCTCCGCTTTCTGTCCCGCTTCCATTCTCTGCAAAACCAGCATCACTTTCCACATCCTTGGATTGTGGCGAGGTGGTGGCAACCCATTGTTTGGGGCCTGGGGCCTTCCTTTGTAAATAGAAAAAGGGGTGTGCGTTTGCTTTCATTAAAGGTTTTTTTTGGGGGGGACGTAAAACACGGAGCTTGTCTGTTGTCAGTTGTCACCCCAGGTTACCCACCACCCCGAGGGGGCCGACGTCCCTCCGATTGGCCATTGCTGGGTGCCTAAGATCCATTCCTTAAATCCGATGTCGGGTGAAGTCAAATGTGCCCCTTTCTCCTCAAATGCCACCTCCCAAGACTGGCATTAATTTTGTCAGGTCCCTAAACCGGATCGAAGACCTAAGAAGAAACACAGCATTGTTTAGGATGGATGGATGAATATCTAGGTAGATGATTAGATAGGTAGATGATTAGATAGATAGATAGATAGATAGATAGATAGAGAGAGAGAGAGAGAGAGAGAGAGAGAGAGAGAGACAGACAGACAGACAGACAGACAGATAGATGGTTAGATGGATGGATGGATGGATGGATGGGTGGGTGGGTGGATGGATGGATAGATAGATAGATAGATAGATAGATAGATAGATAGATAGATAGAT